AGAGGGCACGTAGCCACTCTTCTTCTTAATCTGGGCCAGCCACCACCCACCCTTCCCCTGCACCTTCTGCCTCACCAGCACCTGCTCATTCTCCTTAAAAGGAAGATCCAGTCGCATCCCATCCGCATTGTGTTTATTCACACCCTAAAATTTAGTTTGCGTCAAGGTCACGCAAAAAGATTTGTTTGACTGTTGTTGAGCTCGGTTATTTTAAATACGTTATGCGTCTGTAAATTCTTTAATTGATTCATGGAATTTAACCCAGAAAACGCAAGTGTTCTGAATCTTTTATCAATATTCATTTGAATGTTTTGCGATTAAGAAGAACCCGGGAGGTTATTGCAATTAGAAGTTAACAGGTGCTTCCGGTCATGTTGGTGCGTGAAAACAACAATGGTGCGTGAAAACAACGGTCATGAAAACAACAATGTTTGTAACAAGAAGTTTAGTCTTAGTTTTGTTTAATGATAAGTTGGTACAACGCGCTCACCTTGAATTCATGTTTGGCAATGTATATCTTTCCACTAGTTAGCAGCCAGTCCTTTGGTCTAGGTTTCCAAAGTTGTCGTTTCTTAGAATCCTCGTCTCCACTCTGCTGTGGATCGTAGTTGTTGTCTGGAGGTGAAAAAGTGACCGACTCTTCTCGATTCCCTTTAGAACCCCCGCCTCCCATGGCAGATAAAAAATTAATTTAAATAAATCGAAAAATTAAAGCGTTGCTGGGGTTATTTGAAGTAAACAACAGTGCACACATTTAAATTCTCACCGAAAATTTTTCGGGCAGCAAAAAACTGACTTTTTGCTTGGAGGGCCTTAAAACACGGAATGCATTAACAGATGCAGCAATATTTCAATCATGTAATCAAACAAGACCTGGTTAAAATTTTTGAAACAGAAAAAACCGTCCATTTAGCAAAAATGTGCATCTACTAAAAATTTGTAAGTTGGACGGTGAGTTCATGCACACTAGTTTATATCCGCCAGCACAACAGGAAAAACAGGACGTTTCACTATCATTTGAATCATGAAAAATCAAGAAAATATCTTGCAGGAGCAACGGTGTGAAAGTCTCCGTCTTTCGATCGAAAGGTCATACGTTCAAAACTCACCATGATTCGTGCTCGTTGCTTGAAGATGAGGTAACTGAATAGAATCCAGACAAAGAAATATACAAATTGAATGACATTCTTAACAAGAGGCTCAACAGGGGTTTTCCGTCAAAAACTGAACAGCCCGTATGATCGTGGATTGGGAAAATATCCAAGCTTTCCGCTCCTGCCTAAATTACGGAGACGATAAGAGCGATCATTTGGTTCGAAATATAATTTCTTAAGCTAATCAGAGTACAGCATTTTTCCTGGTGGCTTTTTGCCTAAGTTTGCCGTTGAAACTCAGAGTGGAAATTACGTGGAAAGCTATTTATGCGTCTTATTGTTTTTGGTTTTCTTAATTTGCTTTGTAGGTAAAAGTTAGTAGCTTTAATCTTAGTTTTTATTTTTCTGATCAAAACATCGCATAAGACGACTTATCCCCACTGGAAAATACCAATATACGAGCTGTCCAGTTGATTACGGTGAATCGAGTGCCCCTGTTTAAGAGCTACTTGCAACTTTTTTGGTCACTTTTAGGGTCCAGGTTAGATTGCCTCACCCGCAACAACTTTGGTCTATTGTTGGCCTCAAACATCCATCTTATAGATTGAGAGGCAAGCTTATTCCGCGTCCAAAGTTTATTCTGCATGCAAAATATTTGTCTTGTTTTTTGTCAAAACTAAGAAATAGGAAAAATTGCCTGCTTTTTTTTCTTTGTTAAGCTATAACGAGTACTATTATCAGCACAAACTACTGTGCATTGCATCATTCAAGCACAGCAAACTAATTTTAAAATTTTCCATGAATTAGTTAGTCGCCAAAATTAAGTCATGGGTCATACTTTTCAGGCAAAAAATAGCTCGACAAATGGGAATTTCAAACTAAAAATTGTTTTCAAAATAAAAAAATCTAATTGCAATATAGGCAAAACCCAAACCCATATAGCTCCAAGTTTCTTAGCTTTTTTTTCTACAGATTTTGTTCAATAATTTTTTTGCACAAATATATTGTCGAAAACAATTTCTAATAAAGCTTTTACAAGTACCAAGAAAACAACAATGCAGAAAACGCGAAAAAAAAAATTCAAGCTGTTTTGGTAAACTTTTGCTGATTTGACAGGAGCTTAAGCCTTCAGTACTTTTTGCACTGCAACCAATTTTTTCTATGCAGTTTTTTTATTCAGTTTGCTGCCTAGTCTGAAAATTTTATTCCAAAATTCTTAGAATATGATTTTAATTGTTATGTCAAGGTAATGTAAATCAAAATGGAACCAGATAAAAACTATATTTATTATTGGTTAAAAATTGGATATTTGATCTCTATGAAATATTTAATATTAACCAATCACGATCCATCTAACTAACAACCCACTTATTTGTAAGTGCTGAAATTACTTGTAATTTCAGCACCAGAGAGATCTGAATTTAACTTAGAAATTAGTTACCTCTCCAAGAGAACTTTAGCAATCGCAATAAGCCAGTATACTCTAGATCTATTGAGCCTAGCAGAGACTTTTTAAACACCCTGAGACTAGAAGATATAAGAGTAAGATTAGGATCGGTATTAGAATAAGAAGTTGCAGGAATCTATCCGGCCGAAAATAAGATAGCGTGACGAGCAGACGGTGTACCCTATCCGAAATTACTCTATGAGTTACACCTCAAACTTAACTCATCTGGTGCGACCATAAGTCTCGAACAAGACTTTAAAAAACAAATTAGCTTAGAACTAACAGATAGATTAGAATTAGACAAAAACATTTTCAAAAATGTTACATGATAATAATCTAATTGAAATGTCTCTACGACTCAATAGATCAGAACCGCTATTCCGCACAATACTAGAACTACCAGGCATTGGCAGAAGGTCTCGGACAAGAGACGATCTACGACTACCATTAAGTTTCATGGTCGTACGGCAAAAGCCAGACCAAAGTTTTATATTTAGAATTTTACTAGCAAAGATTTTAGATTTTCATCTGCAAACATAGAAACTTTGAAGAAAAATCTTCAATGATTATTTCAGGCGCTTAATCCCATTTACTATTGTACAATAACGATTCTTAAAAACACCTCAAATTGTTTCCTCTAAAACTGCAGTAAAATTTAAAAAGATATCTGAAAAATATATTTATTAAAAATAAAAAATAAAAATTAGTTAACATGATCATAAATTGTTAGTACATATATATTATCCTGGGAACCCCAGTTTCATAACCTAAACATAACAGCAATCATTAAACCACTAATATCATAAAACACTAAATTTTTCTATCAGATAAATTTAAATTATCTTTAACGGCTTATCCAAATTTTTACCTCTATTTCATTTCAACTTGTTCAATCTTAAACTAGATCATCAAGTCTTTCCTTGGATATCCATTAAATAATTAAATGAAATCCATTCTATACCCTTAAAAAACTATATCCTGATCATCAAGGCCTATCCTTGGATCAAATAGAACAATTTTGTTCTCCACACCCAATAAATAAAGTGTCTAACGACCTCAAACGTCGATTCTTTACCCAACCTTTTCAAAGACCCAGGACTAATAGAAATTTTTCAATCACACTAACCAGTCAAATTAAGCCAAACAGTGAAGAACTTTGGTTATTCATCCTTCACTTAATCCCCCCTCTTACCTGACCCAGGCTAAATCTTAAATCTTAGTAAGTAATAAAATAGTATCTAACGAACTACCTGTGTTCTTATGATACCTGAACCTTGTGGATCGATTTACTATTCTCCAACCCTTGAACACAATCACTACCCCTAAGTAAGGTTAAGTAAGTTAACACCTTAACTTAGAATAGCCACGAGAAAGTAACAATCATTCTTCGGAATCGATATATACTTTTCTCTCCAACCATACATAAAAGACCCAAGTTAGGCTAACCAAAAAATCGTAAGGACTAACAGTCTAGGATTTTAAAATCACTAATAACAATCTTGCACCCTTCATCCTAAACCTTATTTCATGAACAATTTAGGAAAAAAACAAACAATCGTACTTCACAATTGTGAAATAAATAACGAAGCATATGATCTTGTATTTACACCGCACAAACAAACAATCGGATATATTCGCACAAAACGTCAAACAATAAAAAAAAATTTTGAGTAATTAAAGACAAATTACACGAAAAAGATTTTCAAAGCGTAGAAACGCAGTCTCTGAATCAGAAGTCACTAATTTAGATGCACTTTGCAAACTCAAAGACACAATAAATAAAAATAACCCAGTTCACGACCAATTATATTTTTCCGATTCAGAAGCCACATCACATTCATCAATACAAGGAGAAAGAAGAATAAAAAAGATATACGAAAATAAACCAGTACGTCTATACAATTGGAATCAAACAATCAGACACATCGAACATTACGCACTGACAGTTATAAAACGAAAAATGAGCCAAAGTCCAAGTGATGAAAGTCCAGACGAAAACTCTATTTTCCCTTTTATTATA